TCCGGTGGTGCCCAGTTTTGGTTAGGCGGAAAGAAAAAGGATTAAAACTTTAGTTAGCAAGTAGGGAAGAGAGGACAAAGTGAACCGGGGTTAGATTAGAGTGAACCCGGTTCGAACAGGCCGAGTTAGTGTACATTTTTTCTTTCGTTTTTCCTTTTGCATGGGTTGGTGCGGTAGGTTTGTAGGCATGTAACTGATTAGTCAGGACTTTACTTAATATGTACTTAATTTTTAAATTATATTCTTGGTTTGTTTTTAATTTAATTCTCCTAATTAGAGTTGGTTTTTAATTATTTAATTAATTGCCCCTAATTTTTTGGTTCGGTTTTTAGAGGGAAAATGAGGAGATTTGGTGGTCTGTCGAAACTGACCCTTTGAGTGAATTTGAAACCGTTCAAACCCCTTTTAATTTGGTGGCCGTTGGAAAGCAAAAATGTTATGAGCGAGCGCGCCACGAGAGTGGCCAAGGCTTTTCTATAAACGACATAATTTCTTGTGGCGTAAACTGCACGTTCTGTGCCGAATCCTGACCGTTGGATTTTAAAAGAGATGCTTCGATGCCTGCAAATCCTGATGTGATGAGGGTTATTTTTTTTCTTTCTCGGGTTTTGGTGCTGGGTTTGGAGTCATTCACAGCGGATACTGATATTTGTCCGAGGTTTAAAAGCATGCATTGGCCATGGAAGCCATTTATTAGTCACAGTCCATTTCAGAATTTAAAAGACGATGCCGCGGGCACACATGTAAGTGGTGACAGCCATAATTACCACCAAGCTATGACTCATCATTCCATGTTCGAATTTTTGCTTACAAAGTATGTACAAAAAGTTCACTAACCCTTTCTTGATTCCGAAACGGAAACTCCTTTAGAATCCATAACAACAATTTCGGTTTCATAAGTCTCTTTATGCTAAACGTAGTAATGATGCGTAAGCGGCTTTCAACCATTGATGTAAGTGAATTCAACAACTAATAGAGGCGAATGCCATGAACATCATGCTTCAGCTAAGAGCAAAATAACTACGAATTGGCTCATAAATTTTACGAACACTTAAGAGGCCTATCATTCTAACCTAATCCAAACATTTCTTCCTCCTTTTTGTGTTTTTGGTGTTTGCGTGTGTTTGAGAGCGAGAGAGAGAGAGAGAGAGAGAGAGAGAGAGAGAATTAGGTTTGATATATATTATATATGTTGAGTTGAGTGGGGGTAAAACTGCAGAGAATTTTTCAAATAGACCTCGAAATTGCGTTGTTGCTGGCGGGAATATGATGCCATGTGAATTCAATTCATATAGAAATGCTAAGTTACAATGCGCATGCCATTTGTCGTTACATCCCTAATATTATATCAACATAAAACTTGTACATTTGTCTTCAGTCAAAATACAAGTCCCTTCCATTCTATTATTCTTCGTAAACCTTGCTGCTTGCTGCTTGTCGAATTAGACAGCAAGAGCAAACTAAGATTGGACTCATTGTTGTATATTCAATACCACAATGGGCAACTTAATTATACTTTTTATTTAATTTAAAAAAAATACATTTTTTTTGTGTTGGAATTGAACTAAATAAATATTAAAACCCAATCTCATTATTTGAATAATAAAAGATTCCAAGGCTCCAAGTAGAAAAAAACACATTCTTGCACTCAAACATAGACATGACTATCAACAGTCAAATATAAAGTATTTTCTTGTTCTCGCATCTTTACAAGAAAACACAATATATTGGGGTGGCAATTCAACTTTCTTTATGGTATCAGATGTGGTTCGCTATATGTCACTCAATATGTGTTGTCCACATGTTAGGCTTGAAAATTCACAACACGTGCGAGACATGTGACAATGTGAAAGTGAAAATGTCCCACATTGGAAAGTTAAAAAACCTTGCAAGGGCTTATAAGGTGTTGGAGTACTTCCCCCATCGTCAACTGATTTTGAAATGAAAATTCAACTTCCTTCTATTTAATATTTATAAAATAAAATAATTTATAAATATGGATTTTTGAAGGGAAGAAGCTAAATAAGTAGTGCCAAGAATGTTAGCTTCTTCCATTGGTTGAAGCCATAATAATGAAAGAGCATTTCAAAATCAGGCCCCTAGGGGCCTCCTTCCTACCAAAACCAAAGCTAACAGAAAACCCAAACGCATAAGAAATTACTAAGTGTAGGCAACATGCCATGGCAATTGGGTGCCCTACCATAATTGTTGAGTGGCAATTACGTGATGGCCATCTCCCACCAGTTCCAACCACTCTCTCCAACGTCCATAATAGTGAAACATTAACAAGGGATGCCTTTGTCCACTTGTGTGGGTCTTGCATGCCTTTGATTTTCTTAGATATTTGACTTTCTCAGCTTTCCCTTCCCTTCCGCAAAACCTTTATCATATCTCCCAAGTGAAAAAATGAAAAATAAGGCCATGACCAAAAAGAAAAGAAGTATGCGCAAATATAGGTTAAGTCAGTTGAATAAAATCGTTGTACTCAAATTTAATTTGTCTTTATATATATTAGAGTAATTTAAAATATCGCTTTGTCAAGAAGAAAAGAAGTATGCATTAATCAAATACAAATGGACTTTACATAATCAAATTATGCGTGTAGAGAAAAGTGTGGCACAAGTCCAACGCATAGAGTGCTAGAATCAACAGGGTTTTGAATCGAGTTGATGCCTTTTGATAACAGAAAATGTGTCGCATTCAGAAAATAGAAGGAAATTTCTGGCATTGTTTTTTCTCCCCGAGGCCATCAACAACAATGATGATGTTGATGATGATGGCGATGCAGATGCGTGGTTAAATTAGGTTAATTAAGATATTTATTTCTGCATAAACATTAGGTGGTCAACATTTTGGGCCGGCCTTTCACTTAAAAGAGTAGTGATGTTGTGTGGGATGGATTGCCTCGTGCCCTCCATTTGGAAAATCCAAAGGCCAAAAAGATCTCTCTCTCTCTCTCTCTCTCTCTCAACACCCACATGCTAGTGAGTAGTGATTGTACCCACCTCACCCAACCTTTTTTGACCATAATGTTTGTTCAAGAATCAACAGCCTTTTGACCTCTGCCTTGTAAAATCCTTGTACTTAATAACCCCTTTTCAAATGGGAGGGTTTTAACTTATCAGCCCCATCCAATAATGTGCGAGTCCTGCTCACTCCAATAATCCCTCTGTGTTTACTCTTTTGCTCTTAGACTTAATTACCTCAACGAATAATTTGATTGCGAAATGCAAATTGATTTCATTTTGTGTGCTGTGATGTCTATCCAATCTAGCAAAGTGGTACACCTTTTTGCTAGCAGTGCAAATAACTAGATATGGGTTATTTCCATAAATGAATCTTGCTATACATTTATAACCCAAGTGCACGATGACGAATTTTAGTTGAAAATCGTTCATGCACATGTGAGTGATTGACGATGGACTTTGCAAATTGAGCCGGCATGGCTATTTTGTTTGGGGTAGAAGAGAAGATTTAGTCACTGGAATGTGCTGTAGGGACCACTAAGATTGCTGCATCAAACGACTCCCACACATTATTGAATCCTATCATATGTTTAAAAATTGTTGAAGTTGATTTTGTAAAGTCAATATGTAGGTCCATTGAATTTAGTTATTATTTGATGAGAAAATATAATCGGAATTGTCAAGTCATACTTGTTTATTGAGTATTAGAAGTCTAAATTCTGTTGAGTTGATCGTTCATCTAGAATTATTATAAGGCCAGCATGTGTTTATTATAACTTGAATCTGGCAATCTGCATATGCATTTGGTCTCCAACACAACTCCCAAGCTCTAGGCTTTAATGTGATGAGAAGAAAGAAGCACGTTCGGCCTCGTTTCAGTATTGTTAGTAGGCAATGTTTGCTTGTCAAATTCGATAGTCAATGTGAATATTTATCTGATTCTTATTTGTAGATATGACAAAATGATATGCATGAGAGGAAGAGGCATGAAAAATTAAGTATTCGGCCAAACACAACACAACGCGTAAAATTTGCGAATGAATTTGGATTTATATATTTGAACTTGATAAGTTAATGTGTCTAGTTTGGGTTGAATATAATCTCACACAACACGAACACGAACACGGAAAAACATAACATAGCAGATATGTATAAAAGAAAAACATTATCTATATTGGTGCAAGGCTTATAGTTTCACTTGCAGTTAGTATCAATCATTGAGCCCATTGATTGTTTGTGATTCTACATTTCAGATTTCCTCATAAGTCTCACAATTCATTCGGAGTTTTGGAGTTTAAACTGCCAAATGGCCCATGATGAAAGATGTAAGATTTGCTAAAAGGCAGCCTCTCCAGCCCTAGTTAACTCCCCTAAAGGCCTGTCTAAAGGCCTGTCAATGCAATCTTTACATTTCTACATTTCCTCTATTTAGGGAGGCTAGAATGAGGGGATTTTGTGAGGGGTTAATGAAGAAGGTTCTTAATAACTGTTCGATCCAATGCATAGTTATTATTGGACTGTTGGATTGATCCCTTTCATTATAACCCCTCAACATAACCACTCATTACAGAAGCTCCCCGAAAAGTTCGGGTGCAATTGTGCAAAGAAATATCTGTAACACAAAAGGTCAAGCATTAGCTGTTCCACTAAAAGTGAAAAAGAGCAAATTAAAGCAAACATGAGAAGGAATCATATCATATGAGATGGAGGCACATAAAATGATAAGCTTTTTATTCGTAGTTTCTTCTCTCGCATCGCATAGGTAGATGTTTGGCAGATCACCAATAACTCTTCAACACAACTTACACACCACTCACTAAAAGTTTCCTACTACTACTAGGGTATCTTTCATGGCATTTTCATCACGTTGTCAGTGTAAAGAAATACTGATCTTAAAAGAGGCAAAAGTTTGCTCAGAAAGTAAAAGCAATATAATCCAAATAAATGTGGAAACTGGTCCAATTTCTTGCACCCTTGTACAAAGTTTGTTTGTTCATGCAATGTGCATGGCCAAAACCAGACCTTGCATTAGCTCTAAGGACTGTCTTTCCTTCCTCCAATTGCTTTTGGATGGCCACCACATCCCCAAGCCCAACAACCCTTGTTGTTGCCTCCACCGCCGCCTCCTCCTCCCCAACCCCAACCTCCTCCTCCACCTCCACCACCTCCACCGCCACCGCTGCCTCTTCCTCTTCCTCTACCATTTCCTTTTCTTTTGTGGTCTTTACCTTTTCCTTTACCTCTTCCATCTCCACTAGCTGCACCATTCCCACCACCTGCTCCGCCACCACTTCCCCCACCTTGACCACCATTTCCACCTCCACCTCCTCCACCACCACCTCCTCCTCCATTTCCACCTCCATTTTGATTGTTATTGCTTTTGACTAAAACTTCATCAGATGAAGCAGTCAGCTTGGGGATAGCAGCAGCAGTGGCATTATTAAACCCAGCATTAATGCCCCCATCTATTGCATCAGAATCTTCGAGCCCATCAACCAAACACATGCTAAAAAAAAAAGCAAGACCTAAACAAACTCCAAACACTCTGCCCTTAATCTCCATCTTCTGCCTCATGAACTTGAGATCAATGCAAAAACCCAAGTCATCCCCAACTCTCTTTATACTCGTCGAATAGAATATATTGTACTTCCAATTGGCAACGCAGCTCCCACTATAACTAACTTCCAATAAGTAGCAAACCCTAACCCCTCCCAAAGGCTGCAAAAGAGATAATACATACATAGAGTAGTAGTGAGATATCATATTTGATGACTTGTTGCGCAATTTGCAACTTGTCCCCACTTTTTATTATTTGCGTGACCTCTGCACGCTTTTCCTTTTTTATAAATGCCAAAGTAGTCTCTTATTTCCATCACTCTGGTTAACTCTATATAAGATACCCATCTTTGTTTTGTTTGTATCCCAAGCCCCCCACCACTTTCGTTGTATATTAGCGTACTGAAAAGCTTCAAGTTGGTCCTCTATAAGCAACTTGTTTATCTGTCAGGCACGTTCGAATCTCTGCCCTTCAGATTAATTAATACAAATTTGATTTTTTTAGGACCTTTCGTATTAAAAGGGGTGATAACATGCTAAATTCACATACACTACACTGTAACACGGATGCTAAGACTCGAACACTAATGAATCCTTCGCAATACAAATTCGATTAGTGTGTACTTTCTCGTGCTAATTAAACTTGCTTGATTCATTAAGAGGGTAACAAGTCAAAATAAACAGAATTTAGGTTTTCTTCTTTGAGCAAAAGCAATGTGGACTTTAAAGGATTAAGTTGTTTCAGCTGTGCTTCCTTCCACATAAACTAAATAATTCACAAGTGGGTGGACGAGAGTTTGAGGTTCCTTTGGCTTCACGATGGAATGAGAATACAAGTGGTGGCCACGTGAAAAAAGAATGGAAGGACAAGGAGAGAAGAGGGGAGGGTGGTGGTGGTGGTGGTGCTGTCCAGTATATATATGTTTATAATGACTCCAGGTTTGTGGTGGAGATGTTGATAAGTGCAATCCACATAAGGTCCCCCAATAGTTGTGGGTGCATGCCATTATTTCTCCATGTGATGAATCGCCATTTCTTTAAGCTATGCCTTCTTTTTCTTTTGGTCTCAAACTTTTTGTCTATGCATCAGACTAGTCAGAAGAAGAAAGTTGAGAGTTGGGTTTGGTCCATGGGTGTGGCAGATTACAAAACGATCCAAGTTTGATGGTGGACTGAATTTGAATTCGAACAATTATTGATCGGTAGAAAGTAACAAAACGATCCAATGTTATGGTGGCCCAAAGCTATTTAAGTAGTTTTGTGATCACCATGAGACAGCCCAATTCATACACAGTACACCTCATGGTAAAACTAGGACATAGTAACATTTTTTCACTAAAAAAACAAAAGCATTTGGTAGGTTATTTTCAAATAAAGTTCTGAAGATGTGAGTTTAATATATCCTTAAGAAAAGTTAGAATGGAGTATCAATAGTGCTGCTTAATTTAAAAACAAATTTTTTTTTTCTTTTCAGTATATACGTTTCAAACTTCAGACCTCGGAAATAGGAGACTTAGAATTCTGCCCTAAATTCGAGACTTAAGTCCTAAGACCATCTCCAACCATGTTTAGGCTAAACTCAAATTTTCACCCTCCAAAATACAACTATTCATGTATTTTCAGGACTCAAATTTTTTTTTCCTCCAACCTTGCAGACTCATAATTTAAGTCCGCAACTTTATGAAATTGTTTAAGAATGATTAACTCCTAAATTTTTTTCTCATTAATTTTTCTTGACATTATTTTTGTTTCAACATTCGTGATTTAATTTTCTAAACATTTTAACCTAAAAAAATTAAAATTCCAAAACATAATAGATTTTCAATTGAAAATAAAAATAAGTACAACACCATATGTGTTTAAATTATGTAAGTGTGTTTAAATTATGAAAATTTGTATAAAAGTGGTTGTTGCTCTATTGTTAATTGACACAAATTAATGTGCTAAGAATGAGTAAAGTATACAATATAATGAAAAAAATATAAGAATGAAAGTAGAATGAAAAAATATAACAAAGAGAGAAAGGAAAACAAAGGGAGAAAAAAAAAAGATTTTTGGTTGACACAAATTATAGCTGTTGGAATATTAAAAAAAAATTTAAAAAATAAAAATAGAGCACCGCATAATTTTGAAAAAGTAGCGGTTGGGATTCAATCAAATGGCCAGCTTGTTGCAAAACTCACGTGGGGCCAACACTTTTTGTTGTTCACGTGGGCTTCCAAGGTAAAAAACAAAGAAGAAAAAGTAGATTTTGGGTCCACAAACATTATCAATCCAGACAATAGTTTGGGTGGAATTCCAGTCCGAATTTGAGATTTCTCAAATTTCCACCCCGCAAAATACATGGGTTAGAGATAGTTTTTTAAAGCTAAACTCAAAATTTGAGTTTTCACCCCAAGAGTTGGAGATGGTCTAACTAGACATCGAGCTTCAAACTTTACAATTCGAACCTCAAATTATAAGCCTAAAACTGCACATCAACCTTGGGTTTGGAGTCCTAAACCCTAAGTATCGAAACCTTCATCTCGAGTTCGAGCTTGATTTCTGGCCTCTGAACTTTGGATGCTAAAAAACAAAAACAAAAGTAAGGAAGGGAAGTGTTACATTTGTCCTCACATCACTTCTTAAAGAGATAAAGACTCCAAAATTGAACAATTCTCACCAGTTCAATTGGTGATGTTAGATTTTGTCCTCAGTTTCCACCCCCTTCCGTAGTTTTCTTCCCAAACTAACAATGTTTACATATGACATATATGCTTATGTTCTCGTTTGTTTCACTTTTGTTTAGCCATTTACGTAACCCGTTATCTTATTACTTGACCTGTCAGATTGTCATCAAGTGTTAATCTGGTTTCACAACTAGAGGAAAGAAAACTCACCCAAGTAAACAATCTGACCAAATCAAAAGCATTGTAGTTTTATATTAAGATTTTGTTGCAAACTTCCACATCAACTCCTCAATTTTCTTTCTGAAACTAATAAAAAAAGTGAACTTCATCCTCCCCTTTGTGTTTTTTTATTGTGATAAATCTCAGATAGTGGAACTTGGGTGATCTTGCTGAGACCGTTTCAAATTTCCATAGGAGACGCAAAACCAAATTAAGAACAAAAGAAAAAAACCCACAGAAGGGTTCTTGACCTCTCTGTTTCAACAATCACCGTCACTTAATTTGTTGATTAATTAATTAAACATGTTTTGTTCGGTAATTAGATGGATTTAGCATGACAACGGTGGTCAGGTCCACTCCAAGCTTTGTGTTCTGGAATTAATCTGAATTGTGCAGACACCTAACTCTGCAAAATGCCAAACCACCCAACAAACAATTCATGGTCGTCAAAACACCGCACTTACTCTCATATGAACACGTCAAACACGAGATCATATGTCAAAAAAAACGACCATTTATTTGCAGCTAATAATCAACACACAAAAAAAAAAAACGCGTCCACAACATGTCATGCATACATAACATAAGCAACAACAGCAGTAGAGTTACTGCATGCCTTTAATGGCCGAAACTTTTGGCCTAAATTTTCTTCATCTTGACCAAATTCTTGCACAAAAAGGAAAAAGTTCCCTGACAAGAAAAATGATTTCAAATTATAACTTGAGGTGTACGTTTTAGGGCATGTATTTTTCACTACTCCTCCATGCTTTCCTCTTTATTTACAATGGCATCCGCACAATAATAACGTGCGAACATCTGGATAAGAGAATAACTATATATATGTGGAACTTAATGAAATTAAATTGTGGGTGTTTCCCACCAAGTTTTGTAATTGTGTGTGCTCCAGCAAATTGAAGATTTGAGGTTTGTTTTTTAGGAAGTGAAAGAGAAAATCCAAAAAACAATGTTATCTGAAATGTGACATGTTCCCACCACTAGTATATGCCACTCACTCATCAACAATTGTATGATTAAAAAGGCAACAAATTTAAAAAAATAAAAAAAATTCAAACATGAGATGAAACAGCTCTTGGCAGCTTTTAGCACCAGCACAGGCAAATGGATCCATCATGGTGATGAGAGCATTATGCAACAAGAGAAGTAAAAAGATTGACATGAAATGGAGGAAGATTGATGGTGAGGTCACAATGACTAAACATGAAGTAAGAAATTGTCCGGCTATATATAGTCATATGAACCATGTCACAAGTAAGCTTCTAGATTTTATTTATATTTATTTTTCTTCTGTTGAATACAGCCACAATTAAAAGACAGTCCATTGTTTTATGTTGGTTTTTCACACTTTCAATTGCCGGGGTGAAATCTTTTCGTGGACGATGTCATTTTCGTCAGATTCCAATAAGATCAAAACATGTATTGCCCATCTTGATCATTAACAAAGATGAAACTGCGAGTGTGTGTTGATTAAGACAGGAATGATGTGAATGGCTTACCTAATTATTGCTCATCTCTGGTGGAATTGCAGGAAGGAAGACACATCAAGCAGTTTGCGTTGTGATAAACCAAGCTACTTACATCTCCCTCAAACTGGGAGTCTCAATTAATTCGATGAGAAGTTTTTTTATAATTCGTTGGCTCAAAATCAGCAAAACAGCAGCAAAAGTCCTTGTATTGATTTTATTTGAAAAACTGGTGGAAGACTTTGGAAGCCCCTCGACCCCAAACATGAACTGCCTCCGCTTTACTACATTCCTGACAGCTACGTACTTGCAATTGGTATCATTTTTTATGAAATTTGTTTTGTTTTTTCATACAGCAATTGTATTTCAAGTCAAAATTTCTATGTCAGTTAAGATGGAAGTGTCGCGTGAAGCTTTCAAACGTACGGGTTTTTATTTTTGTTTTTATTTTTGTTTTTGTTTTTATTTTTGTTTTTGTTTTTGGGGTTAATGTCATTTTACGTATAATCCAAGTAAGCTTTATTAAGATATGTGAACTAGCTAACTAGAAACATATTTAAAATAGTATTGAACTCAGTTCCATTAAGTAATGGATAATCATATCTTTAAATTGAGTGACTTGATTAAAATGCTATCATATCTTTACATTAATGGTCATGTGCTAGTGCTACTCATATGTGAGACAATCGTTGTGTATAACGGGTGCATGCATGGTTGCTAGTCATAATCTACAATGACATCACGTTTGCTAGGTCTCAGGAAGGTGAAAATGAAATGTCTCTCTCTGTTCAAATCGTGTAAAAAATGTTCTGTCGTCTGATCAGAATGCCAAGAGAAAGGAAGGAAAATACGTACAAAACGAAAGAAAGTCATAGTAAAATTGCAAAAGTAAACAGTTTATAGTCTATCTTGACAGAGAATTAATTCACTGTTTTCGTCCAAAAAAACAAAAGAGAATTAATTCAATGAAACAAAAAATAATTCAATGAAATAAAAAAGGTGACGACCCTCCTCAATGATGTGCACTGTGAGCCAAAACTAAGACATATCTTTTGTCAAAAAAGACTGTTCCCTTTGACGATCAATCTTCTGGCTATCCTCTCTCTCCTACTACAATTCAAACTTTCCGGCCAAACTAGCCTCTTGATTCAGTGACAGTGTAGGCTTTTGACGTACAAGCAGACGCCAAGTTATTCAAATTGACAAAAACTGAACATCCGATCAGAAATAATAACAAATTAAATTGATAAAATTAAAGCGCGATAGCTACCGATACCAATAACCGTGAACTACAAAGATCATTTGTGGTTTTTGGTCAATACAAATTATACAATATACATGTCTACATCTTTGATGATAATCATTTAGTTTTTGTTCGTCTTAAATTTTAGGTAAACCAAAAGAATTTTTGTGTGTCTCTTCGAGCAATAAGAAGCAATCAGATTTCATCATCAATTTGGGCGGTCGTTAAATACAACTTATCTTTACACAACTCGTAATTAATTAGAGTAAATTAACATGACAAGAGCTTTCACACTAAACCAGAAATATGTGCATGTACCCCATTATGCATGGCAATCCCTTTTGGGAAATGTCCCATGGTAGTTAAAATTCTATTCAGTTTTTGAGGGCTATAATTGCCAAGGAGTTAAAATTGTGTTGGATTTTCTATGATCTGATATGATTTGTTTTGTTTTTTTGATTGATAACATGCATTAAAATTTAATTTCGTGATTCGTATATGGCAAGATCAAGAATGCGGATTTTTACAGGTGGCAGTTGAAGATGTTGACCGTTACTTTGCTTAATTGTGTGAGGCAGTCGTTTTAGTTTCCAATATCCGGGATCCAGACATATTAAGTTGATGCATGTCTGATTTAGAAAGGTAAACAGTTATCACTTGGCCGGAAATACACATGATTTTTTTGGCCTGAAGTGGTGGTCCACTAGCACATCTAAACTTATCATTTTTGGGGGATTTAAGTCATGTAATGATTTAGACACCTCAAAATGGGCCATGATTTATCAACTAATGAGGCATGGTTTTGGTTGCTCAGAGGTTTTCCACAGCGCGATTCACACTGCTAATGGATGAATGAAATGAATATTATTTGATGAAAATGAACGAGTGGGAAAATATCAAATCAAATCCCACAGGCCACGGGCATTTAATTAATTATTAAAATAATGATGATGTTATCATGATGCTAAAACACGCAATCTAGCTACCTAGCTCCTAATCCTGTAATCTTATCTTAGTTTTCAAGTATATTAACAGAACACAACACCGTTTAACACATTGCATTTCCATAAAATATTTGCAAGAGAAAAAAGAGGTTGAAATGGTGAGATGAAACAGTCAATGGCTCCAATGTCTAAACCTCGACAGCAACTTGATATGTATAAGGTCCGGCATCAAATCTTTCACCTTTCACATGGACAGACTCACCAATTGTTATGTGAAGCCTCAAACATACACTTCGCTACATGCTAATGAATCATCACTCACGTTGAACAAAGAATTAGGTGGCCAGCTAGCTGTGCCAGCTTTAACCCTAGAGACAAATAGAAACTCCCAAATTAAGCTCGGTTTGTTTTCTAAGCACCATCAATTTGAATTAAAATTTAAGGAACAAAAATTCAATAAATTATTTAGTGAAATATGTACTTATACGGGTCACTATTCTTTGGCTTAGAAATATTAAATGACAAGGTACGGTTAAGATGGATGGTTTTTTAAGTACCGTTTATAACAAAATTTCTGCCAACAAAATCTAGCACTAATATTAGAAAGGGACTTAGTACCAAAAAAAGAAGTGTTTTTCCTGATTAATTTTGAGAATCAAACAAAGTATTTGGTGTGAGCATTTATATTTGGATTGACAGACCCAAATATTAAATGCGACTAGCTCGAGGAAAGTCCACAATCGCAGCATATGTTTTTTGTCTTGCAGCCATGGTAGAACTTTTCGGACCCTTCATTTAAAATTTGTTGAAATTCGTTCACACCATTTATTATTGAGCTTGCTTGTTCTTTTATTAGTGTGATAATATTTGCAAAAGTTGAGTTCGTTTCTTGCAAGTTACAATATAGTTCCTCAATTGCAGAAAATTGAGATAACCAATTTAAATTCTGTTAACTAACTTCTGGCAACTATATAAAAAAATAGTATAATGTGTATGAGTTTAGTATGTTATCGCTCCTTTTAATAAAAAAATGGTACTTGAAACAAAGTTATTTCAACCTTCTTCTTATTTAAATGAAAAAGAAAAATGATACTTTTCAATCATATACGGAAGCTTCATAATTTTTTTTTTCTCTATTAATTTCATTAATTCTAGAAGTATTCAATCGCTTTACTTCAGACAAAGTCAAATTAAAGCAATTTTCTCAAAAACAAAAGTAAAAGCTACCTACTCCCTTTTTTGGTTTATTTTGTATTTTGTTTTACATCGAAGTCGGTTGCAAAGAGGCGAAGAATGCCTTTATACGGCTTTAACTAATTGACCTAAATTCATGTACATATAGCAGATAATATCCCTCATCACTGTTTATATAGAAGGATGTTAGTACGTATCTATACGTCAAAGCAGTTTGGAAATCCATAAATCTCCCGTCTTTTCCCACCGTCTTCTGGTTTTACGTTTACTCATTCAGAGACAATAGTCCAACTTCCATCCTTACCACAAAATCATAAAATAATATTAAAACAAAAATAAAAGTTTCAATTTATTCAATTCATTTGAATTCTAAATCGCGTGACTAAATTCAACAGCAGTACGCAAACTTTGTATATAAAAGGCCCCATAATATCTCATCCAACTTAGCAACATTTTGAGTTGCACACACACCAAACTACTCTACGCACCCAAAAAATACAAACCACATGGATTCTCTTCTCCAAGCCTTGCAAACCATACAACCCATGACACTCTTCTTCATCATCCCGTTCCTCTTCCTCTCCGGCCTAGTCTTCCGATACCGGTCTCGAAGACGCTCCCCCTACCCACCGGGCCCCACAGGCCTCCCCATCATCGGCAACATGCTGATGATGGACCAAATAACCCACCGAGGCCTTGCCAAGCTGGCCAAGCAATATGGCGGCATCTTCCACCTCCGCATGGGGTTCCTCCACATGGTCGGCATTTCAAACCCTGACGTGGCGCGCCAGGTCCTCCAAGTCCAGGACAACATCTTCTCCAACCGCCCCGCCACCATCGCCATCAGCTACCTCACCTACGACCGCGCCGACATGGCTTTCGCCCACTACGGTCCCTTTTGGCGCCAGATGCGTAAGCTCTGCGTGATGAAACTCTTCAGCCGGAAGCGCGCAGAGTCCTGGGACGCCGTGAGGGACGAGGTGGACACAGCGGTCCTTACCGTCGCTGTTCAGGCAGGTTCGGCTGTGAATATCGGGGAGCTGGTTTTTTCGTTGACGAAGAATATTATTTATCGGGCGGCCTTCGGGACGAGCTCGGACGAAGGGCAGGATGAGTTTATTGGGATATTGCAGGAATTTTCGAAGTTGTTCGGGGCTTTCAATATTGCGGATTTTATTCCTTGCCTTGGTTGGGTTGACCCTCAGGGGCTCAACAACAGGCTGGCTAGGGCTCGTCAGTCGTTGGATGGATTTATCGACAGCATCATAGACGACCACATGCAGAAGAAGAAGAACAGTGACGGATCGAATGGCGGTGAAACTGATATGGTGGATGAATTGTTGGCTTTTTACAGTGATGAAGCCAAAGTAAATGAGTCTGATGACAATTTGCAAAACGCCATCAACCTTACTAGAGATAACATCAAGGCCATCATCATGGTAAATTATTGCGCCTTCTATACCATACAAAACCACAATTAATTCGGAAAAATCTGAAAATGCTGACATATTATATTGTTAGACTGTAAATTTCTATCGTATAATATTATTTTGAATTAATTATAAATCAGATTGACATTCTAACAGCATAACATATGAGTCATTTAGTAAACTAAATAAATGAACTAATTAATTGACATGTGTCGCCTGCAGGATGTTATGTTTGGCGGGACAGAGACGGTGGCATCGGCGATAGAGTGGGCCATGGCGGAGCTAATGAGGAACCCAGATGAGCTAAAGAGGGTCCAACAAGAACTTGCTGACGTGGTGGGTCTTGATCGCCGACCTGAAGAGGGAGACTTTGAGAAGTTGACTTACCTAAAATGTGCACTTAAAGAGACACTGCGGCTACACCCTCCGATTCCACTGCTCCTCCACGAGACGGCGGAGGACGCGGAGGTGGCCGGCTACCACATCCCTAAAAAGTCACGCGTTATGATCAACTCGTGGGCCATCGGGCGTGACAAGGACTCGTGGGAGGACGCAGAGTCCTTCAAGCCCTCTAGGTTTTTGAAAGAAGGTGTGCCGGACTTTAAGGGGAGCAACTTCGAGTTCATTCCGTTCGGGTCCGGTCGGAGGTCGTGCCCGGGCATGCAGCTCGGGTTGTACTCGCTGGAGTTGGCGGTGGGGCATTTGCTCCACTGTTTTACGTGGGAGTTGCCTGATGGGATGAAACCCAGTGAGCTCGACATGAACGACGTGTTTGGACTCACCGCTCCCAGAGCGAGTCGACTCATTGCCGTACCGAGTAAAAGGGTGGTTTGTCCACTGTGATGATCTCATGACGAGGATGAGAAAAACTTGGTGTCCCAAAATTTCAAGTATACATAACAATGAAACGGCGACGCACAGGTAAATTGCGGGGTTTTTTTCCTTTTTTTTTTTTTATTTAAAATATTTGGGAACCCAGAAAACAAATAATTGAAAAGAGACTTTGGAAACAAGAAATGAGGGAATTTGTATTGTCTTTCTTTGTGTATAAACACTCTCTTTGATTTGTTTCATATGTACGGAAATTTGTCTTGGATTTCCTTTCTTTTCCCTCTTTTTTATTTTATTTTAATTTTCTTACTATTGTATTCAAATAATGGATCAATTTGAAAATATATATATATATATATTTGTCACAGTGGAAAAAATATATATTATCATTGCAAACACTTGGTATATAATTTTGTGTAATTTGTAACGCAAGTGAAAGTGTTCTCGTGACTTTAGGGAATATTTGTGGCTGGATGTGTGAATATTTATATTAAGTTTGTATATGCTTGCGACTGAAGTTGTTCATACTGTCATCAGCAGCTCCAAGAATTGACACTTTTGACTCTTTCGCTTGCTATATAGTGCTAAATGTGAATCTCAATATAAGGCTCTATGGTGCATGAATGAGTTGGTGGTCCATTGACAAAGTTTCTCAATAAATCAATCATGCGATGAAAGAGATAGACACAATTATATTAATACAGAGCATCACGGCCAATATGCATCAAACACGTCCATGCAAAAGAGTGTTGTAATGCGCTTGGTGTAATATACTAGGTACTCACGAAAATTATACTAGTACTGAGCACCGGAGCAGAGTCCGTGCCGGTGGTGCAATATGCATCAAACATGTGCGTGCAAAAAAGTGTTGTAATTGGCCTGGTGGCAACAAAACATGTTTGTACTTGGTACAATTGATACAGAGAAAGATAGAGAGATATATATAAAATATATTGAGTTTAGGTAGGCAGTGAGGACGAGTGAGGAGGACGTGAGGCCTTTCTTGTGTTTTCTTTGGGTAGAATAATGAGACTGGGCATGAGATTGAGAGGTGAGGTGGGGGGAGGTTCCATCTGAGATTTCCCATCTTCAACAAACGTGGGATATGGACAATAGAGGACATAAGGGCCACCAATATGCAATCCAATCAGATTCTGTAGGATATTTGTATATTATATATCCATCCTTGTCCATTTTTGTAAAGTTGGTGGCTTGGTGCAATGGTGCTTGAATAAGACCCCACTGTGCTTATAAGTTTAGCTTGCGTTTGGGAAATGGAGTGGGATTGAATACTATCCTATCCAATCCAGTTCAAACACACCAACCTATTTCTATCCCAATATATTATCTGGTTTTGTTTTTTATTTTTAAGGTCTCTGTAGTTGCGTTGCGTGTATATGCGGCACTCAGATTAGACTGATGAGTTTTGAGGTCAAACTTTGGAACTCCCCAGGATGTAGATGTGTACAGAGAAGACCTAGAGACAGATGACATAGGTGTATGCATAGCTTGATGAATGCGTTTTTATTTGTTAGATTGGAGGAAACCAAACTAGTGGCGGATTCAAGATTCGAAATTCGGTTGGGCGAAACTTACATTTAAAATTCAAAGTTATGAGCAAATCTCATTAACAAAAAATAAAAATATACACCTAGTTGAAGGGATATAATGCGTTTTTAATAGTCACTGATTAATTGCAGCGCTATTAGTGGAAGGTTTATTTATTTATTTTTTATTTTTATTTTTATTTAAAGAAACAAAATTATTAATAGATGATATCAGACCCAGCCAAACCCAGCCCATGAACTTCCTTACCCATCATTTATTGTCGTTGGACTTGCATCATATTGGCACAGGAGAGAGAGAGAGAGAGAGAGAGAGGACTTAATTGAATTCTAATAAGATGAATATTTGGATTGCGTAATTGATTTCTTCCTTGGGCTAGGCCCCACTTACAACGTCCTAATCTTTCACATCTTTATCATATTTCTTAAAAATACAACAGCTTGTAACCCAAAAAAAATGAAAAGAAAAACACAACACCTTGAAAAGAATGAACCTTTTCCCAGTTTCCCCTATTGGGTTTTGTCGTCGTTAACTATAAAAAAAAACGTTTACAACAAGATACGAAGCACCGCAAGACCAACAGCAGAAATGGAAACAAGAGTACCTATGCAGTATTTTATGACATCATATTTTGCTGCTTCCACCTGTGCCCTTAGAGCATGAATTTCCTGGTAATAATATACAAGTAATAGTTAGTATAAGAAATCGTCCACTCCTAGTTCAATCGGAAAAGTATTCGCACCAATTCTCACCCGATCAAGTTTGTTAGTAAGGTTATTAGTTTCTGCATTCTGATTTGATAGCTCTTCCCGTATCCTCCTACACTCGATAACCATAAGAATGAACAAGGAGGGTGAATATCGTGACTGAAACAGAGGTTCCTGAGATGCTCAGAGGATAAAAAGTTTCAATGTATTCATTTACCCCCTTTCAAGATTCAAGTCCAACCGCTGCCCTGCAGTAACTTTGTCGATTTCATACCTGCATCACAATGAAAATATTTGCATCGTGAAGATCATTACGAAAAAGCAAACACACTGAAAAGGAAACAGACAGAAAACGACAGTAAAGTAACTCCATAAATCAGACCTCAATTCGCTACGCATCTTCTCTATATCATTCCGAAGTTTTTCAGTCTCATGTTGCAACAAAGAAAAATGGTGTCCCTGCATCACATATTTTTCAATGAAATTACCAATAGAAGCTAGCCCAGGAACTAATCAAATGTTTCTTAGGAGACTGAAATGCCAACCAAAGTAACCAAATGTATGACTGAAATCCTAAATGTTTGGCTTATAGTTGCTGGTAAGATCCACAATCAGAAGCACGCCACACCATGCAACAGCCACCCAGAAAATGGAGGCATCATACTTCAGGTACATGAACACTACTAAACATTTTAATGTCCAAATATTATGATCAGCCATGATTGGGGCACAATCATTTAACAGTTTCAGTTGAAATCTAATCTGGATTGGCATACCATCAATGATTTGGTGGTTATTTATGCACGATAAACACAACTGAAAAAAGAAACAGTTGTGACCAATTACAAAGGGTATTCCAGGTCACTCAGTCACAATGTTTGCATGCAAGACAATAATAAGATTTGGGATGGTAACTAGAAGAATATAATCCACAATCCCTGGCTGCTCATAATCAACAGAAGTTAAACAGGCGACATAAGTTCTTGGTTTACCAAAAGAACCAAACAAAGACATTACCAGAAAGAAAATTCGACAACAATCAAATAGAAAACCACCAGCCCGACGTAGTGATTAACATAAGGAACTAGTAAGTACCTGTGCGCTTTGAATTTCGGATTTGAATTTGGACAAATTGGATTCTTGGATCATCTCGGTCTGATATTATGCACACAAAAAACCCAATCGGATAATTAAATTGTCTCCTCATGAATTGATGAACGCCAATATACACAGAGATAATCAAGCATGGAAAAAGTAACAGTAAAAATGAGAATCACTTACTTTCTGCATCTCTCCTTTGGAAACAAATGAATTAGACACATTTTCCAAGCTATCGTTCAAAACTTCAGTAATGGCAGCTGTTATCGCCTCGGCATGCTTTGAGGGCACGCCTTGGCCCTCTAACCTCCTAACCTAGACGAAATGCAGCATATAATTAGGCTCAATTACAGCCTACTCCAATGTCACTGTAATTTCTTTTGCCATTTGAGATTTTCACAAACTTATCATTTTCAGAAATTCAAATAACATCGTAGAGATAAATTTGGAAAATTGAATGTAAGAGAAAGCGATGTGATTGCTCACCAAGGCTAATGTGTCGACGAGAAACAATCGCTTTCCATTAGATTTGACGAGCTGAGAAGTCAGTCTGCAATCCAAATGCCTGTACTCCAAAGACGGAGACACCGTAACTTTCGAAGCAGCAGGACCTCCGAAACCGGACAATCCGAACCCCGAATTGGTTCCTAATTGCCCGACCCGTTTACAAGCCGCAGCAGCGGCCATTCGAATTCGATTTCCGCAGAACCTGATTTCCGAATGCTAATTGAAAATCCCAAGCCCCAAAAATATCAATCGATTCTGAAACCTACCTTTGATCGGTCAAACAAATCGCGCGAAGAACAATGACAGAATCTTCACACAGGGAAGAGAAATGCGAACCGTTTGGTTACTGAGAAAACGCAAGGAAACGCGAGAATGCAATAATGAAACGAAAACTGAATCCGATCCAGTACCTGTATCGGAAAAGCTACGAAACGGGGCTAAGAGCGTTAGGAGAAGGAGAGAGAGAAGGCTTTATTGTTAGCTGAGAAATCCAAAAGGAGAGGATGAACCTGGATAGGCTTGTTTGTCCTTGTGTCCTTCTCGGGATTCGCGAAGAGAAGAAAGAGAGGAGGATCAGCAAAGAAAGAGTTTGGGTTTGATTTCGCGGTTGCTTGCTAGCTTGCTGCTATTTTATTAGCCTTTGCCCCAAACAGCGCGCACCACCTTTTTCTATTTTTATTTTTGCGAACTACTAATAATTGAACACAAACTGCTAATTATCTTAAGCACGTTTCTTAATTAAGTAGTTATATTATCGTCTCTACGATAATTCCGACCTTTTTAGCTGGAGGCAGGCAGGTCCACTGGTCATGGGGGTAATTAAACTTTGGCTTTTCTAATGAACCAGCTCACAAGACCAATACATTATCTTCATCCAGTCTTACTGGTTTAGTCAGAGAAACCCCCATTACCCAAAAATAAAAGAACAAAGAAAAAAATATGGACTGGAATTCGAATATGGCAAGAGAAAAATGAATATCAAGATGTGCGTGTGCAAGTACATTAATGTCGCTCACACTTGCGTGTGCACGACGCGCATATATTAATGTCGACTATGCGTGCGTGTACACGAACATTTGCACACGTACATTCGCTCACAGACGGATGCATGTGTAGAGAAGAGACATAAACTCCATTCCTTCCTTGCAACAACGCCTCAGCTAAATTCAATTCACTTACATGATAGTTATGTGACCAGTTCTGTGAGAAAGGTTTACAAAGGTTGTATATGAGAATCATAACGTTAAAAGTAGTGTATATCACGGTTGTATGCTAGTGTTATGGCAATCGTACGGCAAGATTAGCAAATAGCGCAATTTGGATTTCATTGTATCAAACATAACAGAACCCCTTGTTCAGACCCCAAAAAAAAACAGAACCTCTTGTCACATTCCTCCACCACTAAATAAACAATTAGAGAACAAATAATAATCACCATCTACGACTAGCAGTTGCACTAACATTATATTGCTCAAAATGTGGAGTGAGGTGTTATAAACAAGCACAGAAACCAGGTCGACTTGAAGCCGAATCCCGCTTCTTGAGTATATTTATTCGTTCGTCCAATATCTTCAACAAGCCATCTTACTTTGATCTCCCTCTGTATGGGAACAAAAAATCTGAGAGACTTCCTTTAATGTAGTTACCTACTTTATACACGTTCTTAGTCACCCCTGAAGCAACAAGATCTGCATTTCTTGAAAACCTACACATTCGTTAACAAACACCAGATAAGATAACCCTTACGAAATAAGGCTGAAAGTTTCGCAAAACCAGGATTTCATATTCTTCACTTGAATAGTCTAGTCATAGCTTACTTGTTCAAGAAAACAGTTCCGGCAGATTGAGTAGGTGGCTGGTGCCTCTGAGTCTGAGGGACTTCACGAGCATCTAGAAGGTAAAGAAAAGGGATAAATAGCTGACAACAGATGATAATGTAACATTTATAGAAACCAAATACTATATAGTTAATATATTCTTAACCAAAGCGACCATCTCAGGAATGTATATCAGTAACTAGCAGAATTAAGCTAAGTTCAGTGGAATTATACTCGCACGACCTCACTATCTACATGTCATTTTTGCAGGAAGACCTTGACTATATTGAAGGCAAACTATTGTAAGAAACACCTGGAAAGAGAATGACAAGGTAAAAAAACAAAAAGAGACTGGCAAACAAATTTTTTTTCCTTACCCTCTTTGTGATGAACATGGGTAGAAACAGGAGCGGCAGCTGGTGACGTTTTATGGATTCTTTTGCCAACCAAAAGCTGCAGCAACTCATTTAGTCAGATTGCTTGCTAAACAAAAACTAATGCACGCAAAAGGAGCTGTTTAATTAGAAATTTCATGTGCCCATAAAGTCAACTTGCTACACAGACCATATTACTTCCAGCTATCTAAGAACGATCCTGCTCCAATTTGCACCAAAACTCAAAAGTCACGACCTCCGTGAATAGCTCATAGCTGATTATCATTATCATACAATATATTGAGATCTCGTATAACATGATCTCATTATGTAAACTGTAAAGCAAGGTAAAGTAATAACTAATCCAATTAACATCAAAATTAAATTAAAAGACAAAGAAAAACAATTGCAAATCTCCATGCATTTAAGCAACCAATTAAAGTCCATAAGCAAGCACATGAACCCCCACATCTCATATAAGCACATAATAAAATGTTTCATTGTGTGTGAGTTTCTGAGCGAAAGAGAGAAAGAGAGGGTGAGAGATTACCTCCAAGCCAACACAAACGGGCAATTCTGATGTGTTCTTTTGAGAAGGGTCTTCTTTAATTCGATCCAAATACATAGAGTAACCAGCACAAGCATAACGAAAATCAGCAAGATGTCGATCCTCTTTAGAAGCCTCCATCTCAGTTGCTACAACTACTGAGTCAGGCACTGGTCACCAAATCTACATATTAGTAGGTAGGCCAATACGACTTTCATATATATATAAAAAGTTTCAACTGGCAAAAAGGAGAGCACAAAGCAAACAATCTAATCCAGAAAAAATAAATGTGGTTCTAAAATCAAATTTACAAAACTAGCAAAGAAAGATGAATCCTTTATAGGAAAAGCAAAAAAATAAGCTGTCTGCAGCTCAAAGATGATGACTTTTTCCTAACCTAAACTTTCATGAATGAATCTCAAATATAAGGTGAAAAGCTAAAACCTGGTTTACAAAATTTAAATTTAAAAAGAAACAGAATTCAGACACCGAAACCCTAAAAGTTAGAATTCTCTAAGAGAACCGAAAGTTCCGCAATCGATCAGATGTCTCGTGAATTAATTAAAAAAAATAGGTCGGTTGGTTATGGAACTAATGTTTAATTGTTTGTTTTTCTCGAGAACCCAACGAAAAATAACAAGGAAGGAAAAAGAGGGGAAGTTTTACAGAAGAGAGACCTTGAGGGAGGGTGCGAGGAACGCCGAGGCAGATAGGATTGTAAGCATTGGATTTGAGAGCGGTTGAATAATAAAGTGTTCCTTTGCATGATCTCCCTTTCTTCGAGACATTTTCTGGGCCTTTCTCTTTCTCTGTACTCTTATTCGTAGCCATGGCGTCGGCGTCGTCGTCGTCCCCACTGTGACTCTGACTCTCTTCTCATCCTGTCGCGCGGGTTTGGCTCTCTCGGTTTTTTGTACTCCATTTTGAGTGTAGCCGGGCGGCTATACTTTTTTTTGACACGTGGCGTTTAATCGACAGAGGGTCTTCATTAAAAATAATCATCATCATACAGCCGCACGGCTATACTCCATTTTTATAATATAAAAAAATGTGTTGACACGTGATCCTAATGGCTGGGGGTCCTTTTTTTTATATTAAAAAACGTATAGCCGGCCGGCTATACCAAGTTTTAATTTTTTTTAACAGTATAGCCGTACGGCTATACTATTTAGATTTTTTTTTCGAATTTTTATTTTCAAAATAGTTTAGCCAGGCGGCGTTACTGATTTTTTTAAAATTATATTTAATAAATAGTATAGACGAGTTGCTATGGTCTTTTATGTATGTATACATATATAAATGTACGTATGTATTTTTCAACAATACATTTGTGTTCAATACATTTGTGTTCTATACACGTCTCACGTTTTTAAAAAAAAGCATACAATAGTCATATTGTATATGTATGTAAGTATTTCTAATATTTTTTACACTTATATTTTACAAAATTTTCAGTAAGACACACAAAATTCACGTATTATACAAATAATTCTCACATATTATTGAATAAGAATAACATATTCTATAAAAAATATATTAAAATATCATATAGTGGAAGATTAATATCTACTTTGGATATGTTGTAAATTAATATCTATAAGGTACAAACTAATGCAACCAGGAGGGATTTTTTATTAAATAGTATAGCCTCGCGGCTATAGCCGTGCGGCTGTACTATGATTTTTTTATATAAAAAAAGAGGGTGGCGCCACACGTGGTTTTACTCGAATGGAATAATAATATAAGGGTGGTGCTAGAGGCACCAACTTTGGGCACCAACTCTCTAATAGAGGTGGAGCCCGTCAATACACCGTGTCCCACGCTCTATTAGAGAGTTGGTGCCCAAAGTTAGTGCATCTAGCATTTTCTATAAAATAAAGTGTAACAAGTAGGTTTTTAATGAATTTACCGGACTTTATTTTTTATTTTTATTACTTACAATTCTTTTTTACCATTTCTTACCTAAAATATTTTTACAAATTTATAAATAAATCCAATCCTAGACATGTATTTATAAAAAAACTCAAACACTATTTAAACATAGAAACACACCCAAAATCAACCCCAAAGTCAACAATTGTATATTTTTTAGGTGTGTTTATAAATGGGTTTTGAGTTTGTGTAATTATGAGTTTTGGGTGTTGGGTTTTTTTATAATTTTAACTCCTATTTTGGGTGTTTTAATGAAACTCCCAAATATTTTAGTATATTGATTTGTTCAAAAAAAATCTATCCCAATGGTTTTTTTTTTTTTTTTTTTTTTTTTTTTTAAAAAAAAAACAATTATCTTCTCATTTTCAGTAAGGCATTGCATGAATCATCTTACAATCCATGGTTTTACTAACATCTGATATGGTGAAATTTTATTTTAACTGTGAGTTATATGTATTTGGTTTTTAAATGAAGATATTTAGAAACTCAAAAAAAAAAAATACAAGCAATAGTTTAAAGTTAACTACTCTAAATTAATCTAATATACGGGAGATGAATTCGAACTTGGGTGCAAAGAGTCAGGCTCACTGCCCTGTCTAACTGCCTAACCCTCGTCTGCCCAGAAATTTTTTGTTTCAAATGAGGTTAAATGAAGATATCTAGCCTTGCCAAATAGTATACAGGCAAAGGGCACAACACAAGAACATTACCAAAAGAGCAAGATATCTCAAAATATGTACACATTTTATTCAAGCATTTGAGACGCATTTTTGTTCTCTTACAGTAAGATGTGGAAGACAGACATGGATGGAGTGACCAAGTACGGAAACAAGAAGCTGGATCCACCTGGTGTTCTTCTTCTTCCCCCACACAAACCAGGAAAAGGAAGAGTGGTGGTAGTGAAGTTACAGTTTCATCGTATGCAAATAGTGCTCCGGAAAACAGGATAATAGGCCTCCAGTTCAAGCAGATCCAGGATCTGCTGTGCGCCCCAAAGATAGGAAGAGTGGGCATCAATCACATCTGTTACATCAACCTGCAAATACCAAAGAAAGCATACTGATGTTGTTAAGGGTTTCAATCGATATCCCCCTTCGAACTCTAAGTTATGTACTGCTTTTCAGCAACTATCTCAAGCAGTAAGCTCTATTCAGGGAACACAGAATTTTAGTTGAAGTAATGCGCTCCCAAGAGCAACTGAGATGGCAGAGAGAGACAGAGAGAGATGAAGAGAAAACTTACATTCTCAATCCCTTCAACTTTTATTGGTTGAATTCCGGCTAATCCTCGAGAAAGTAGACTGTTCAAAAGTGATCATTAGTTACTATTATGGAAATCGACAAATAACAATCTATCAGCATAGTAGAGCTGCAATAAACTGACCCCCACCCCATCCCATTTGCTTCTATCAAATCCTTGAAATGGGCACATAATTGTATTCATAAACAAGTGTATAGCCATCAAGTTGTAAGCTAGTTCAAGGTTGAGATGTGTTCTCTGGTGTGCTTGGGCATTAAGAGGGGGGAGAGAGAGAGAGACCTGCCTAACATGTTTCCTACAGTAAATCAACCACTAATTCCTAAAATTTGCAGGTATGAGAGACCTGCCTAACATGTTTCCTACAGTAAATCAACCACTAATTCCTAAAATTTGCTGGTATGACCAAAGGCTCTACCAAAACAATCTCCCATTCTGCATACCTGGCACGGAAAGCAATCCCAAGCATCCAATCATTTGTGGAGTAGGCATTGACAAATCTTCCAGCCACCATCTGCAAATATCAGGAGGTAGTAAACACTTGCACCAAATTTATAATAAAACTCTGCAAACTTTGGAGGTGGAGAAAAAGGAAAGAAAAAAAAAAACCAATTTTGCAATCACCTTTCTAGCAGCTTCCCATTTCTCATCTGTGATCGAGATGGGTGCTCCAAGAAGAACAACTCTTTCTACAAGTTCAGCTGCCAAGAAATAATTATTAATCCAGGATAGAGGAGATAGATGAGCAATTATTATCACTTACCATTCTTTTCAGTTTCTGCCAAACACTGCAGACACTTGAAAATTACTCGTGCTCCAAGTGAGAAACCCACCAGTGTTACAGGCCTGAAGTCAATGAAATCCCGAGCGAACAAAAATTATTTGGATTGGTTTTTTAGGAATTTCTGAAGTAATGAGATAACAATAATTTCAAGTTATGCTGTTGACCTGTTCCCATGAATTCCTTTTAATAACACCTCAGCAAGCAGCCTTCCTGCTTTGTCTGACCTGGAATATAAAAAAAAGGTTGAACAAGTCTAGATTGAAACTCACAACAAACATTGCTACTCTAGAGTAACTCCAGCATTCCTGACCAAAGCTTCTGGAAATCACAAAGAAGAATGAACTTAAAAGAAAGATTTTCCCACTCTTCTTGATAGGGGAGAAAAAGGACCTGTCCACAGCAATTGCCCATTTGCTATCTATAAAATCAGCAGCTGCAAGTAATGTTGCAGGCCAAGCCAGTGCAGTAACAAGAGTGCCTAACACAGTCATCATTGCACCTTGCTTCATCAACCCCATTGCAATTCCTACATCAACCAGAGGTAATCTCAATATCATGTGCAATTTATATCGTCATATTACCAGTAAATAACAACAATCCAAACCAATTACTTGAAGTAAGCCAATCCTGAATTGCAGTGCTAACTGCAATTAGATTCTTTGACTCCCAGACCAGCGCATACCTATAGATTTGTTAAGGTCATAATAGATAATTCATCTGTAAGTTCCATTTATGGATTTCAAAGGCCTGGATCAGTTCAGTTTAATTTTCAGGTTCTTCAAACATGTTGAAGAGTAGTAAAAATATCTGTACCTTTCCAAATTGTCATCCTGTCCCTCCCAAGGCCTTACAAAATCTTCCTTATCAAAAACAAATCCTGAAACCAAGATCTCAACTGCTAGCCTCTGAGAGATAAGGTGAGAAAAATTACAGTTTGAACCACTAATTATAGATATGTGTGTGTAAAGAGAGAGAGACAGTAAAAACAAAACAATAGCCCACCGGACTATAGTAAAAGTGCTCCCTATGGTAGAATAATAAGAAAAAAAATATTAAAATAGAATTTGGAGCTACAAAAAACTCACGCCCTGGTTATGATTTTCTCCTATAGCGCTGAACTCAAATTCATCTACACTTCCAGTTCTTCTAGCCATTTTGCTCCCTGTGAGTCCAGCTCCAGCAGCTTGATTGAATGGAGAGTGAGCAGTAGACCATAAATTAGTTCGCACAAATACAATATGAATATGAAATATGAAACTGTTTGTAGATACAAAAGATATATCCCACAGAAACAAAAAAGAGCAAATCAGATGATTCAACAACAATAGAAACCTATTCACCTCCAAATGATGCAGCAACAACAACAGAACCAGCAACAGTTCCGGCAGCACTTGCAGCTGCAGCAAACCCGCTTGCTCCAATTATTGGGATGAGAGTGCCCAATGTTGGAGCTAGAGCACCAAGTCCTGCGGCAATTGCTGGGGCTGCTAATCCTGTAGAAAAGTAAAACTACACAAATTGGAAGACCAAAACCGTTGAAGCTGAAGAACTTGTAGAAGGATTTTAAATTCTTCTACAATGAGTAAAGATTTTTTTAGGGTCTCATACCACCAGTTATTGTCAGCAACGTTCCTCCGGTTATTGCAGCTGCGCCAATGATACCACCACGCTTCCATTTAGCCCATTTGTTTTTTGGTGACTGGGTTTCTTCTTTTTCTTCTTCCTTTTTCACTAATGCCATTGCAGAGCAAGCAACCATTGTCTCAATGACTTCCTACAAAGCAAAGTTTAGGACAAAAAGCATAAAACGTGACCATAATGAAGAAGGGAATGTAGTTGCTGTCAATTTGTATCGAAATACGATACTATCCTGATCTTGGTCATTAAAAAAGAAAATGAGGAAGTATCTT